TTGGGTAAGTTGGCAAGATATTCAGATTCAGAGTGACGGACCGGTCTGCGAGCTGGACGCATTGGTCTTAATGTGCCGGTAATGATGGTAAATGACGGTTGTAGCTGGTTGTCGTCTACGGTCCACTACGGTTACCCAAGGGGGGCGTTTGTTTCTTGAAAACGTTTTATCTCATCATTTCTTTAGTGCAGAAATGTTCTTCTATAGTTGTGTGGATGCATCACTCCAGCCAATCCAAGGACACGGTTTGTAACCAATCAGGTGTAGAGACCATGGTGACTGGCTCCGCCCCCTTACTGTCAGAAAGAACAACAGCGAGCGCGTAGAAAACACCTTCGAGCGCGAGCAGAGATTAACCTCGCGAGCGAGGAAGTTCACGCTCCGCGAGCGAGCAAATATCTCGCGCGAGACAGACTTTTTAAAAATATTTCTTTCTGATTATTAACTTTTCTGAATCAAGACCGAATCGAGAATCGAAAGAAATCGAAAAATCAAGAGCTGAAGAATCATCCACAGCTCCTTCACATCTCCGTCAGTGAAAGAACCGTAAACTCACTAAATGAATCATTAACACGTTTAAACAGCAATAAAACAGTGATGATAAAAGCAGAGACGGATCCATATTCAGTAAAGATTGTCACTCGCTGCCTTCATCAAAGTGGATACATGTGGACGGCACCATCTCCATTTTCTCCTCTTCCTCCTGGTGTCCAGCGTTGGTCAGTGGGATCTGCATCAAAGAACAAGAAGTACTTATTGGATAGTATTGTTGGACTGAAGTACAAAGGACCAGATAGTAGAATATCTGCAGGGCTTGTTCTCTAATGACTCCTTTGGGCCCTACAGGTTCTCATGGAGGCCTCATGTGTTTAATGGTTGTAATTAAGGTCATTGAGGTTAATGAAGTTCCATCTACAAACTGTCATCGTGTGTCTGTGGATACTGTGCACGCTGTGTACAAGAAGGACACGCACACAGATTCATTAAGAACATTAAGTACAACCAGTGTACGTGGATATAGTTTGACCTTTTGGAGACTAACAGGATTAATATTTAAGTTATTCATGATATGATGAAGGTTCTAACAGGCCTCCACACTGAGCTCTTCCTCCTCACCTGAACGTTATTCTCTGGTCCCTCTGCTTTATCATTCTTCCTCACAGAAGAATAAATGAGCAAACAAATCTATGATCAAATCAAGTGATTCAACGACTGTGTGAATGTAAGATCCACATCTGCATTTTATCACATTACAGGTCATGTAGCACACGCTTTTATCCAGAGCGACTCACTCACTTTAAACCCACGGCTTTTTACGTTTGGCCCAGGGAGAAATTAGGGTTAGGTGTCTTGCTCAGGGACACTTTGACTTGAGACATGGGGCAGCCGGGACTCAAACCTCCAACCTTGCACATACCAGCACACCGCTCTACCCCCTGAGCCACGACGAGCCGCCAATCACAGAGAAGCTGAACCGCTCACCTGATGTAGAGGACAGCGAGGATGATGATCAGCAGGAAAACAGCAGATATGGATGCAAAAACAGTTGTTGTTGTTGACCATGTGGAGCCTCCTTTTTCTACACGGGAAAGAAAGCAAACAACAACAAATATAAACTATTAAATATGGAGGGTGGAGGATGAATTAGTGACAAAAATAAGATGTTTAACTCAGTGAAACAGAATATCCGGCCATCTTGGGTCGGTCAGCTGGCTCACCCATAACATTGTGTTGGTAGTAAAACATGTACCTATATGAATAATTAGTATATATATAATACAAAATGATGTTACGTTCTAACAAATAGAATAATGTTCTAAAATAGGTACAAGATGCATGTTGAAATCCGCTCCCTGCACACAGATGTAGTTATGACACTGCATACTTATGAATAATTGTAACCATGGGTTTTCATACGGAAATGATATTAAACAGAACATTATTCATACGTATGCAGTGTCATAACTACATCTCTGATGTTTATAACAAACCAAAGACATCTAGCCTTTATATATAATATCTATGGCTGCATAGACGTCCTCTTTATCCCCAAGTTAGCGACAGAAGAGTCACAAAGCGACAACCAAGCAGCTCAGGAAGAGAATCCAGCGCTGAAGAAAAGCTCATGTCCAATGTGAGACTTGTATGTTAATGACATGTGGTGCAATTAAGAACTCACTCTCTTGAGCTCTACATGTTGAAAGCAAGTATTCGTTTGTGTTTGTGCGTGTGAACGTGATTGTGTGGTGATGTAAACGGTCACAACAAGCAGCAGGAGAGCAACTTGTAAACCTCGAGGTGTCCTGAATGCTCCAAACATCACGCCGTTGTTTATTTAGGCTGCTCACATGTAACATTCATCTTTTTATTAACAGGACAAAGAAAAGGACTTTTCCCAACAGGGACCTCAGAAAATGTATAGCATGCCGCACCATGACATTGTGACTGCATACAAAGGTCACACATGACTATATGAACATCTATTTATTGAACTTTAACAAAACTGCAAAGTGCAAATGTAAAACAAATTTCTCTTCTGGCATTTAGTCCAGCGCTTCTTTAATGTGTCTGGTCCATTTATTAAAGCAATGATGATAACAAAATTCTAAATAATCAATTCTTTTATACGGCCACATATTAAAAGAAAAGATGCGGATGTCATGTGCTGTAAACAAAGCAACTAGTGGAGGCGGCAAGGTGCTCAGTGTTGCCACATTGGAAATGGTCAAGTATCGTACCAAAGGCTCAAAATGGTCGTATGTGGAGGATAATTATCGTGTATCTGGCAACATGGCGATCGGTCGACCAATGACTGTTCTCTCTACAGTCAGAGCTCGCGCAGGAAGGTGGAGCGTAAGGGAGACACCATTTACACCACTTGTGAGGGCGGAATAACTAGTTTGTGAAAGACTCAGAAACACAAATATCCGACGAAGCAAAATCCCGGACGCATTAATTAGGTCTCAGAAAGAGGACGTCTGGTCACCCTGTGAGTCACTTCTTTAGCTGGATTGTTGATGTAATGTGTGAGTGAACAGAAGAATGCGTGTGATTTACCTGAAGAAGTAATCAGACGTAAGGTGGAGTTACTACGTCCCATCTCGTTCTGGGCTTCACAGTAATAATTCCCACTGTGTTCAGCTGTGAAGTCAGTGATGGTGAAGTTCTGTCCTGATGCTCGTGGGGAGTCTTCATCCTCCTTGTACCAGGTGTAGTTAGCTGCTGGGTTAGCATCAGCGCTACAGGTCAGATTCACTGAATCGCCCTCCATCATCTCAGCAGAGGGACTCACTGACACAGAGGGACGCTGTGGACCATCTGGAGGAGACGTGAATAAACATACTAAGAGGTTAGAAGATGTTAGCGTAGATAGTTGATCATTTGAATGAATACTTGTGTGTCTTTCTCTCAGACTATCTCTATTATTCATCACAGCAGCTGTCACAGGTGAGACTCCTGCTGGTGTAAAGTGACAATAAGCAGCCTTTAATCCTTTGTAATGTTCATATCTCCACACATTCTTCTCTTTAGATGCTGCTTGTGTCCTTAGCTGAGTCTGTCCTCTCACTTTTAGTTGTTGTAGGAGTTATTGATTGTTTCCTCCACCAGTTGACACGTCACTTCTACTTATGTTCTGGAATAATTCACTTGAGTCTTTATGAAAATCACATTATTCTGTCTGCTGATGGTTTATATTTGTGTTTCTATTAATAAGAGAATGACATAAATAAAGATCTGTGTCTCCTTTAACATTTAGACTCCAGTGTGTTTACAGCTGTGATTAGAATCATATTGTTGTGTCAGTGTGTGAGTGACTCTTCTACACGTAGACTGCAGGGGCCGGGGATTGAACCAGCAACCCTCTGGTCAGTGGACCACGGCTCCACCTCCTGAGGAACGTTGTGCTTCATCTTTTTGATGCCTCTAGTTTACATGCAGCGGTCTGGTGCCTCCATGTGAGATGTTGGTGAAGCTCCACAGGCCGACACAGTGGAGTGAACTTACACACTGCAGGAGAACGTTGACCAGTAGGTCCTCTTAAATAGCAGGAATATCTGTCTGTAGAACCAGAGGAGACTAGAAGAGAAGATCCTCTCTTGATGATCTCTTCATTCTTGTACCAGACGTATTCAGGACGATCAGACAGAACACAGCTGCTGTGATACGTCAGCTCCAACCAGGTAGAATCTGATCTTCTCACCTGCACCTGGAGACCTGAATCAGTGAATATTATTTATTAAAGTGTCAAAATTCACAGAAGACATTTATACTCTAGTTTTCTAGATGTTGAACATTTGTAGATGATTAATATGTGAATTAAAATGTTACCTGTGACAGACAAAGTGACTCCAGGTGAACCAGTATATTTCTCTCCTGGTTTGTTTGTCATCAATGTGAATTTGTACTCAGCTGAGTCGCTCTCTCTCAGGTCTGTGATGATCAGATAACATCTCTTACTCAAACATTCGTACTTGACACGGTCTGAATACTCAGAGTCTGTTGTCAGATCCACAGCTTCACCATCTTTCTCTTTAGTGAACCAGAATCTGTCCTTTATATCAGAGGGATCTATTCCAGGTGGGTATGTGATGTCACAGCTTATATACACTGTTGATCCTTTTAAAGCACAGACGTCAGTCTGAGGGTAATTCACTCTCCATCCATCCTGACTCTGTATGACTGTAACACAGCACATCAGGAACCACAGTCACACTCAGAACAACATCACAGGACACACTCTCATTGGTAGTTTACTGAAGAGAAAAGATATTATGAGAAATATGAAAATCATTGAGTTTATAGAAAGTAATGAAAGAGTCCACGATGTCCACATGGACTCTGCAGCTGGAAGGAACAGCGACGTATTGAACCTGTGGACCTGAAAAAGCTCAAGTTGAAGTATTAGAAGGGTTTGGTTGATGAGAAGAAGAGTGTCTTTGCTCTGTGCTCTTATATTCTACGTAATGACGCAGTGTCACGTTATTACGCAATGACATCACAACGCCATTTAGCAACTTTTAACAAAAAAATTGCTCGTCTTGAGCAACTTCCCTAATGAACGCGTTGGCCTCACTAGTAGCGTCTCTCTTGTGCCGCTCTGTGCGTCAACTGCGCTCGGCACCCACAGCCGGTGATCTGCGGCCTTCGGCTCGGTCTCCACGGAGCAGGAAGAGGAACTCTGTTAAGCTATAAGTGAGCTCGTGGTGAGCTTTGTCACTGCTGCATCTGCAAACTTTACATTTAAAATAAATAAAACTAGCAAGAATACAAACACAGAACTTTGTTGTCGGGAGGAAGCGCAAAGACGTCAGACACGATGGGCGCGATCCGACATTCAACAAGAGACTCAACAACCAGGAAGAGAATAAAAATGACCACAAATACACAATAAAATGCTCCAAAAAGAAGAACAAACGTCGTCAGAGACTCGGAGTGAATAACAGCCTCTAAATGTGGTCTAATGCAAAGAAACGCTGCTGACGAATA